GGATTTTGAATAGGTAGGCCTTTGATGGTCTATGGAATGGTTGGGTAGGGACTATGAGGTCTATAAAGTATGGTAGGGCTAGATGGGGACTATGGTCTACGATTTGGAGCATAATGGTATATGGAGTATGGTAAGGGCTAGATGGGGACTATGGTTTATGGTTTGGGGTTGGTGGTCCAAGGTATACTCTCACAAATAAAATATTTCTCTCTCTTCTCTCTCAAAGTGAAAAATGAAGGCATAAACACAAGAAAAAGCTTGGTCTCAATCTCAATTTTGCCTAATTTTCGACTTAGGATTACAAATGAAGTAAAATGACTTATATAGGAGTCATCCCAAACAAGGGTGGATGCTAAAATCTATGTCTAATTGATAGAAACTACAACTAAAAGTCATCAAACGTGAATTTTATTTCTGTGGAAAAATTATCATTTTGCCCTCCATACTTTTATAGAAATGACAAGACCATCCCTCAAAAGGGGGCCTCTTGCTTTCTCTATGGTTCTAGGTCATGTTTTATGCTTGTCGATGACATTTCGTGTGATCCAACATCGTAGTAACGTTGGTCGTCTCGATATGATTTATTTGATATGCACTTTGAGGCTTGAATCAAACTTTTGATGATAAATTCAAAATATGGTCAAACCCATCAACTTTGAAATCTTTGAACTTTGATCTTGCACGTTTCGTCACGTTTTTTTGTCGACTTTCTTATCACAAATTGAAGGGGAAGTTGTTGTGACCGTTTTGCAATGAAAACCCCTCGATTTTAGCTTCATTTGATCACTTTTCCATTTTAAAGGTCGCTAAAAAATGGGATTCTGGTGACTAAAAAATTGTATCTACTTCTGAGTTTTAATCAGGTGCCTTCCCGATCTCAATCTTATGCAATCCATACCTCAAATCGAAGCCATTTGAGTTGCGGTCGTAACGGACCTACTCGTTGGTCTATCCGATGTCGGGGCTATGAGAAATAACTATGGGAGTGAAGGGATATCATGCCTTAAAAATTTTGCAGTTTCTATGCTTTGGAGTAACTTCTTTATAGGATTTCTCCTTATCTGAGAGCCCTCACCAATATGCCATATGTTGAAACATGCATCGTGATGAGATGAACGACTTACTAAAATTTGGGCTCAATTGGGTTCAAGATGAACAAGTTATATCACTTGGAAGAAATCTCATTTTTTAAAAACACAATTTCCACAAATGGAAAGTGGTTCATCAAAGCCTCTTATGAATAGTGTAAGAACTACCCATTTCAAGAAAGTCAGCCCTGAGAGGGATCTGAATGAGCTGAAACTTGATATTCTAGGGTTTTTGGGCCTTCTGAGTTCAACTGTGGTGGTCTAAAAACCACCTGATACCTTGGTAGTATAGCTATAGTTATTTTGAGCATGTTGGATAGCATACTTGCAAATGAAATTCCATTCTAATATGCCTTATCTTTGTCGGATTGAGACGAAACTTGATGGGCATCTTTGAAACATCAAATGCTACCTTCTCATGCTTTTTGAGGTCAGGATAACAAATTTTAAAATTCTTCCAAATTTAGGCCTATTTGGTCCTGGGTTATCTCGATATTTTTGTTTCCCCTTTCTTACGCCCGTATGTGAGTTTTTTAACAAGTAGGGTTGTTGTTCCTTATTGGACCGGCAAGTCGTATAGATGACCTAATGACCCATGATTACAAATAAGTATCCCTAGATTGATTACATCGGTCGTTCGAGGTTTAACGGCTTGGCCTTGATCGGATTCGTTAACCTACCCTTTCTAGGTAGATTTCAATGTGTTGTGGACAATTTTGGAAAATGAAGTTCCCCTTTTCACCTTAGGAACACGGGTGAGATAACAACTCTTCACATTGGTTAACCTCATCATTGGAGGGTTAAGTACCCCAACAGTCTAGTTATTGAATGTGTGATCACGCGATGCACTACTCAAACCAATGGCTTGATCGAAAGTGCAATCCCGGTGAGGGGCGAGGGGCTCCATAAGGTACAGGTGTATGCCCAATGAGAAAGGTTAGGCTGAGTGCATCTAGGACCAGAACACCCCTTTCCCGAGAAGCGGTTATGTGCGAGGGTACAAGTGCCCTCAGAGGAGTAAGAAAACGAGAAAGAAAGGAGGAGGAAACAAAAAGAGAGAGAAGAGCAAACCCCGAGCGAAGAAAGGTATCATAGGGCACCCACATGATTAGCATCCACGTTGAGGAGGATGCCAATCAAAATCAAGGTGTCCTTTGATCATTTTCCTGCCCCAAGGCACATAACCAGCACAAAGGAATAGAAATAGGAGGGGAGTTCAGCATGTTGTCAAGACCCTAAATTGCACTAGTGGAGGTGACTAACACATCAGACCCGAACTAGAGTGACATGGAAAGACATCGACAACCTAAGAGCTTTGAGCCCTATGAGATAGAGAAAACCTCAAGAGGTAGGGTGCAGAACAGAAACAGGGAGCGGAGGAGACAATCAGTGTGGGCGAAAATTGTACGAGCACAATCTTCACCTTCGTTTGGTTGTTTCATGTTCCCAAAAGCAAGACAGCAGCCTGGAAAAGGAGCGGATCTAGTTCCAAATGATGACAAACTCACAGGATCGAGCCTTTGAGATTGTTTCACGGTTTGACGATTCAAAAAGCTCAACGGACCCAACGGTGGGCGTATGACTGTTTATACTCAAAAATTTCGACATAATGGTGTTCCCAACCTAATTTTTTGGACTAAAATTTTCCAAAATGGGAGAAAGGTAGAGAGATGGGTTTCATCGAATTACTATCAAGACGAGAGTTAGGACACGAGGCCTTCCTCCACTCAAATCGTCGGTAGAGCCGGTTCTTTGAATTAACAAACATGGAACTAGCTCAAGAAATTTTTAGAAAACTAGGATGAATGGGAATTTTCTAGGAAATTCCTTTTCTAAATAAAGATAAAGGAAATAAACAAAATGAAATGACGAAGAATCTGAGGCCGAGCCCCAAGGCCCGGTGCTAGGAGATAGTGTCAATTCAGGATTAATCTGAACTCGATGGCTTCTCGGCTTTTAGACATTTGCCAATCAGGGATCAGATGAATTTTCTTAGGAATTGGGGATTTGAAAGCAGCAACAATGAATGGATTTTTAGATTTTTAGACTGGGTCAGGCTTGGGCTTCAAAGTCATAGGCGGCTTGGAAGCATCTATTTTCATAGTAGCAAAGCTAATCCTTCAAGAAGCACGCTCATTAACTGAGGTCCAGGGAGGATTGAATCTGTGTTGTCCCTGATCTTTGTGAGAGACACCTTGTGGATGCTGGTGTTAACTGCGTTGATAAGTAATGATTGCAGGCCATGACGTGTGTCAATGTATGATAACCCACGTGATTTTGGGGCGGTGTTCCATTAGATTCGCCATGTTATCCCTTTTTTGTCTGTTGTCCCTCTTACAATTCCGTTTTGGTCCTAATGAAGGTCATGCTCTCGTTTGGTCATAATAACTTCTCAAAGCTTGCTTTTGGGCAGTGTTCTCATCCAGACACAATTCTTCCCATTTGACGAATGGAGATGCTGGTGTCGTTTCAATCTCTAGCTACCAATAATTAGATGTCAGTGTTCACATTCCAACGCTTGACAGTATGCATTTATTTTGGCCAATGGAATTTCAGCGAAACTGTCAGTTTGAGAGTGATAATGATTTTATTCTTTCAATCTTTGATGGAAGGCAATTAAGCCGACCACATTAGCCAATTAGAGCTAGCGTGGCTTGCTCCTTTGCTGGTGGTCATGCTACCTGGCCGGTATTACCATGATTTCTTTCTCATTCCAATGTCAGATGGTTAAATTGCCTGCCTCAACCAATCCATTTCCGACGAGACTCAAGAGTGTCATTTATGTGTGTAATGATTGCTTTTCCTTGCTCTGATCTCGGGCGGTTAAGCCGTCTATTTCCGACAACCGGTGGCTCTGTTTTTGTTGCGAATGATGATACTTCAAGCATAGTTGCCGAATTTGCATCCCTCATTTTCTTTGTTTCGACATTGGGTGGTCTGGGTCGCCCTTCCAGCCAATCAAGTCCATTTTGTTTTTGACATGGATGGCACCTTCATTAACGATGGCAAGGCCCACATCTTTATTCACTTTGCAAAGCTTGTCCTTCTCACTTATCTTTTCTAGTTTTTTAGCTCATTTGCCTGCTCTGCTTGCCTTTGGTAGTGGGTATGGTTTGAAGATGGGCAATTAATTTGGGTGGCTACCCTTGAAGAATTTAAGTTTACCTACAATTTTCTTAATTGCGGTTGAGGTGTCTACAAGTTGGCTCAGTGGAAAAAACTTCAGTTTTTTACCTCCTTGTCATAAAACTGAATTTGTTTTTTGATATCATGCTTTAGTCATTGATGTGAAAAAAAAACTGTATTTTTTTGTATTAAACTTGTGAGAGAAAACCCATATATGTATACATAGGTTGTTACATTGCACAACCTGTATGATATACAAAAAGGAAAGAAAGAATACATCATGCATAATCATGGAAAGATCATCCTATCTAGTAAAAACAAGAAAGTACATATATACAATTTCACACTCCCCCTCAAACTTGTGATAGTCAGAAATGAACCATGGATAGTTTAGAAGCAAGGCTTGAGAAACGAGGGGCACTATAGGACTTCATAAAGAAGTCCACAAGCTGTGAGGAAGATGAGATGCATGGAAGAGAGATTGTCTCGATTAAATATTCTTATCGAACAAAATGACAATCTACTTCAATATGCTTGGTGTGCTCATAAAACTCTAGGTTTTTTTACAATATAAATCGAACTTTTGTTATCACAATATAAGGGAGTGGGTCTAAAAAACTCCACACCCAAGTTAGCTAATAACCAACAAAGTTAAACAATCTCAATCGTTGTTTGGGCCATTGCTCGATACTCATCTTCAGTTGTTGATTGAGCAATATGTTTATGGTTCTTGCTCTTCAAAGAAAGAAGGCAGCCACCATGAAAAATAAAAAAAAATGTAGTAGACTACTGATCAATAGTATCCCCTGAAAAATCAGAGTCACTATAAGAATGAAGTCCAAGAGTAGAAGACGAAGAAAACAACAGAGCACGATCAAGAGTATCTTGAATATAAGGAGTGATACATAAAACAACTACCAACTGAACAGAACGAGGGACACTCACGAATTTACTGGCAATATGAATAACGTAAGCAATGTTGGGCCAAGAGAGAATTACATAAATCAAACTTCCAATAAGCTTCCAATAAAATGTACGATCTGAAAGAGGTTCATCATATATAGAGTAAAGTTTGACATTAAGCTTAGTAGGTATGACAGTGTGGTTTGTATCATTCGCTAGACGAGCTCGATAAATAATATATGTGGCATACTTGAGTTGTGAGAGCAAATGCCCATGAGGAGAATACACAACTTCAAGGCCCCAAAAATATTTTAAGAATCCCAAATATTTCATCTCGAAAAGCTGATTAAGTTTTTGCTTGATTAGATGTATAGTTGTCTCATCATCCCCAGAAATTATCATATCATCAACATAGAGTAAGAGAATTACACAACCTATGGGAGTGACCAAGACAAACATGGCTGAGACATGATGGCTCTATCAAAAACCCTCAGAGACAACACCAGAACTAAAAATTTTCAAACCAAGAATGGGGAGCTTGTTTAAGACCATCAAGTGTGCGTCGTAGTGGACAAACTCTACTGGTAGGATCAGAAACCCCAAGAGGTAACTTCATATATGCTTCTTCTGCAAGATCACCATTAAGAAATGTATTTTTTATAGCAAATTGATATAGAGGCCCTTGGCATATAACAGCTACAAAAATCAAGGTACGAACTATAGTCATGTGGGCAACATGAGCAAACATTTCAGCAAAAACAATCCCAAATTGTTGATTATAACCTTTAGTTACAAGTCGTGTCTTATAACATTTGATATTGCCATCAGCTTTAGTTTTGATTTAGTACACCCACCGGTAGCCAATGGCCTTTTTATCTTTGGGAAGAGGAACATGATCCCAAGCATGTATTTTATCATGGAAAGTCAATTCTTCTACCATGGAATGTTGTCACTTGGTTGTTTGACAGCTTACTCATAAGTCTGCGGCTCATAGTGAGAATGAACAGAGGGAAGAAATGTTCCATGCTTAGGTAAAAAGGTTCATAATCAACAAAACGTGTAGGTGAAATAGGGACCCGAGCACTACGACAGACAACATGTATCTGTACAGGAGCAACAAGTGCATATGACTGAATTGGTTTATCAGCAGAAGTTTAGTGCTCTACAATTGGACCATCCATAAGAGGCATAGGTGAGGTTGTAGCCACATGAGCAATATCATCAAAGAAAGGGATAAAAAAAGAAGTGGAAGAAGAGTCAGTAGGTGGAGGGGAATGAAAAGGAATATGCTTAGAAAATAGCACATGTCGGGACACTATAAGTTTCCTAGCCACATGATCATAGCATTTATAACCCTTTTGGTGGTCAGGATATCCTAGGAAACAACATTTAACTACTTTGGCAAATAGTTTGTCTCGTTCAGATATTGGCAACAGAACAAAGCATGTGCAACAAAAAACACAAAGAGTTGAATAGTTTGGGAGTTGAGTGAACAATCGTTCAAAAGGGGAACATCCAGATAAGACAAAAGAATACATAATATTAATCAAATAAACGGTTGTGCAAACAGCTTCTGCCCAAAAAGCCTATGGAACTGAGGCTGACAAGAGAAGAGCTCGTGCACATTTTAAAATGTGGCGATTTTTGTGTTCAACAACACCATTTTGTTCAAGACTATATGGACAAGATTTTTGGTGTTGAATAGTTTATTAGAAAGAAATTTTCTCCCTACCAGAATCTGATCTCAAGACTTTGATTTTGGCATAAAACTAAGTTTTAAAGTACGAATAAAACCAGACGAAGGTGTCATATAGTTCATTACAGTTATTCATAAAGAAAGCCCAAGTATATCTGGTTTGATCATCAATAAAAATAACATAAAAACATGACCCCCTCTTTGATGCAAGAGGAGCTGGTCTTCAGACATCATATGCATTAGATCAAACATGGAAGCATAAATTGAATTGTTGCAGTTGAATGGTAATGCATGCATTTTTTTAAGTTTGCACGACTCACAATCTTTAACAATAGAGAGACTTTTAAAAGAAGTAGCATCAATAACACCCTAAAAAAACAAAAATTATAACCAAGAAGTAGAAATATGAACCAAACGTTGATGCCACAAAGATCCTTTATCAGGTATTGTAGCACATGCAGAAGTTCCAATAGGAGTTTCTAAAAGAAGATGGTCTAGAAAGTAGATGTCACCAACTTTATACCCAGTCCCCACTAGTTTCCCCGATTGCCGATCCTGCACATCACATCCAAAGGGAGTGAAAACAACATTACAATTGGAACAGGCAATCTAACCAATAGAATACAATTTCAGAGCAATGGAGGGAACATAATCAACACAAAAAACATTCAATTTACAAAAAAGATCAGAGGATGTAGTAATTGAGCCCACCTTAGAAACATTCATAGTTGTACTATTAGTAGTACAATTAATGTCAAAACAAGGTTTGCAATCAACAATGATAGACTCATTGGCAGTCATATGACAAGAAGCACCATAGTTTATTAACCAGGAAGCTGAAGCAGTTTTACCTTAAAAAGAAGATGCAAATTTATAGGACAATCGGGACTATGACAGAAACCATTGAAGTTGCTCCATTATAAGAGTGACTGATAAGGAAGCAACACCAACAGTCTGTGGTGTTATACTAACTGTTTGAGTTCCAGGAATCATGGCAAAATGATCAAGAATGCGTCCTCACCACCTAAAAAAGTAGTGCAAAGAATGTGATCCGTCACAACTTGATGTTGTGGTTGCCCCCCCCTTCTCTCAAAATGATGGTCTGTCATAACTCAAGGTTCTCAAATTGGCTTAACCGACAAATTTTGCAGGGCTTTTCCAAAAGGCTTATGTCTCATAAATATTCCAAAGCAAGTGGTAAAAAGATGGAGACTAAAAGAATCAGGAGGAGATAGTGCATCGAAGTTCTTATAGGCCGTGGCACCAGAGAGGCATGTTCACATAAAATAAAACGAATTTAGGAACCAAAGCTAATAGTTCAAGTACCATAATTTGGAGGCATCAAACTCTTGCCTAAATTCAGAGAAAGAAACAGAGGAGGGAGAGAGAGAGAGAGAGATAGCCAACAATCCAAAAGGAAGACCCGCAACAAAAAGGAGCGAAGAGATAGGTTGGTTGGTTGGTTGGTTGAGGTACTTTTTGCTTAGTGATAATCAAATTTTGTGGAGAAAGTTTTTTTCCAAAGAGATTTTTGTATACAAAACGTTAGTTTACATTGTCAGGTATTCAAATGACCGAAAGGATTCAACAAAAATAGGTATATTTTTATGATGATCGCTCTGGGTGAGTATTATTTAGAATATGTGAAGGGAATATAATAGAAAAGTTTTTGTAGGTTACGATTTGGAGATGGATGCGTTGAAATCAAATATTCTAGCTATGGCAGTGAAAAGGGCTTCTATTTATAAAGAATGCAAGTTTGTTTCAAAGGAGCAAATTATCATTAATTTTAAAGAGGTCGTAGATCTAAATAAAAAAAATTAAAGGAGAGAAGCAATATTGACCCCTCCAACTGAGAATTGCTTTAAACTCTATCTTGATGGAAACTCTTTAGGAAATATAGGCTATGCAGGTCTTGGAGGATTAATTAGATATCATAGAGGTAATATAACTTTATTATTTTTGTGAGCGAATGGGATTACTACTGTTAATAAATCTAAGGCTAAGGGTCTTTTAGAGGGATTGAAGCTTATCTCTTCACTAGATGGTGATAAAATTATTGAAGGAGATTCAACAAATGTTATCCCATAGAGTAAAAGATCTACTAAGGTAACATGTAGATTAATTCCCATTTTGGAAGAACTAAGGGAACTCTTGTCCAAAAATTCGTTAGTTCAATATCATTGTTTTAGAGAGGCTAATTGTGATGTTGGTTCTTTAGCCAACTGTTCAATACCATTGTTTTAGAGAGGCTAATTGTGATACTGGTTCTTTAGCCAATGGTTCAATACCATTGTTTTAGAGAGGCTAATTGTGATGCTGGTTCTTTAGCCAAAGGTGGGAACAAGCAACTCTTGTTGGTGGATACTACATACTCGTAATTGGTGTACTTTTTTTTTTGCAAAGATTTCCTTGTTAACAGAAAGTTAAGGGCATGTTTGGTTTGTACGTAAATATGTCCTAAAAATATTTACATGTGTAAGTTGCATTTCATATGTTTGTTTGGTGCATATTGCATATGCAAATAAATCCCATGGTTAAACATTTTTCATGAAATGGTC